CTTTTCAGAGTACTGGGGTGATGAACACGACGAATCAAGACACATGGTTATATCACAATGTTCTGGCGTCGTCTACGGGCGTTTTTTTCACTCGTTCCTAGATCGGGCTCCTGTTTATGCCCTCTCTGACCAGGCCTGCGCTGTTTTGTTGATCAGCGATACTAGAACTAACCCGTGACAGTAATCGAACACGGGCTTACGACAAGTCTACGGAGCACTTTACATGTCGTAAAATTGAGAAAGACGATCCCATTCAGTGCACCGCCAATATCCGTGGGCATCTTATCAGCCCACGGCGTGCGCATAACAGCGCTATTTATCCCTGCCATCGTCCCAAAATCAGCCACCCTGGCGTCACAGCCCCGCTTACTCTTGTCCAACCTCACTTGAGCCCGCACCACGCGCTCACAGCGGGAGAGGCGTAACCTGGCCGCTCGGAGTTATAAAGCCAGGCCGTGCGCGCTGGGCCAGCTCCACAGATCCGATGCGAAGCGGTGAGCGGACATCGCAAGCCCCTGTTATAAAGGCCGTCCGTCCGCGCTGGGCAGCTCCACAGATCCGATGCGGAAGCGGTGAGCGGACATCGCAAGCCCGGTGCCTGCCCTTCCGTGGCCTGTGAAGGCTCGTCCGCATGGGTGCAGTGTGACGAGACGTCCCACACGCACCTCAGGGTTTGTATAGGGGTTGGCAGTGTGACGAGGCGCCCCACGCGGACCTGGATGTCTGCAGGGGTGTGTTTGTGACGAGGTGGCCCAACGCGGACCTGAAGATCTGCAGGGGTTGCAGTTTGACGAGGCGCCCATGCGGACCTGTAGATCTGTAGAGATGCAGTGCGACGAGGCGGCCCCACGCGGACCTGTAGATCTGTAGAGGTGCGGTGTGACGAGGCGGCCCACGAGGACCTCAGGGTTTGTATAGGGGTGCAGCAGTGAACGAGGCACCCCACGCGGACTTCAAGGTCTACACAGACTATGCAGCGCGATACTGCAAACGGTAATTCTCGACCAATCTTTGCGACCGTGTTACTGTGTAGCCTGGTCCACAGCACGAGTTTCCTGCCGAAGTTGAGAACCGCAGTAAACCGGTTGCTCCAGATCATGTTTAAAACCTTACGAGGCCACGTGTCTTCCGATCCCAGACATTCCAGTTGGGATTTTCTTCTCTCTGCATACATGTGTAAATTTGCAAAAATTTTGGCGCTGGCTGTATGTATCCAAACACAGCCTGTCGATTAAGCCTAGCTTTCTGCGTGCTAATGAACAAAACGATTCATGTCTGATACATACGATATATCTATGGTCTTCCATAGCTGATACAATATGACTCATTTCGTCACAAAAACTCATCCTAGATGCTTTTATTCACTATACTCCCCTTTGCGCTTGTAGACTTAGGTTCGGCAAAACGTCTTTCGTTGCATTTGTTGCGATAGATGGAATATATTTGGATTTATCTTTAAACTTCACACACACATACGTGATAGGCATTAAAAATCACTGCTACTGATACGCGTGCCGTGGTTACACAAAAAGTAACGCTCATGCAGTATTTTAGTAAGTCCCATCCTGGGGGTTGACTGTCTACATCTCCGGTTATTCCGTATCCATGGCATTAGCATTAGAATACTTTTTGCGATGAATGAATTATGAATCAAGTTAAAGGAGCCTGCCTGCTTTACATGGACGCGAGCCACGAACCGCAATACGCATTCGAGGCACCAGGCCGGACAACAATCCATGGCCAGCCACGACGTAGAAAGGAACAGAGGACGCTTCAATGGTTGACATGGCAACAACGGTCACCACCGGCCGACGGAGAACTCATAACTGACGAAACGCCGCAAGATGGCGGGTGCTGTTGGTGCTCAGCCGGCTGCGGG